ATGAGGCGGAGAGGCAGGCCAAGGGAGGATCAGGCCCCGGGAGCATATGGACTGCAGGCTGAACTCTTCCATCCCGAGCGTTAATAATGGACCGAAATCTGTAATTCTTAATCGTGCTGAATCCTAACGCCCTCGTCTAAGGGCCTTGGGATTTTGATAGAGGATCAGCTGGCACGGAAGATAACAACAGTCAAACACAATGCATGGAGCCTAACCAGTAGATCGACGGGCTGCCACGGCACTCCTCTCACTTCCCTTCCGAGCCTTCTCCAGACTCCTTCCTCCTGTGATGCTGGCAAGAAAAAGTCATTTAAAAATCCCCTTGTTTATCCCAACTTTCTTCCTATGACACGGCTGCTTGCTTATGTGAACGGGTAAGACTCGAGCATGGTTGGAAAGGATACAAGGACACTAGGGGACAAACACAGGATTGCTGGCGGATGGAGAAAGGTATCTTGGACACACAGCCTTAACCTCCAACTCTTCACTTTATCCCCAGACCTTCACTAACTCACTTGTTTCCGCACAGCCTCCACCACCCTGTCGCTGCTGCCGTCGATACTGAACGGTGCCAGGGGATGGGACCAGCACCCAGGTGCCCACAACACTCCACAGCACCCCCAGACCTCCCAGTTCAAGCCCAAGCTGGAATATTTCCAAGCACACAGGTTTTGGGATGCCCGCTGCTCACCAGGTTATGAAGTTAGCAGTCACCGAAAGTGACCAGGCATCCACTCACTTTGTTTTGCTGTTTTTCTTAAAGAAAATAATCAGCCTTTCCCCAAAGAAGATGCAGTGGAACAAGATGGAAAGTGGGTACTGTCCTTGACGTTTCTAAGCACAGCAGATGGACTGAACTGGCTCCGGTTATTTATTTATTTACTTGTGTAGAGAAAATGCTTGTTACTGATGAAACCCAAATGCTGATAAGATGATGAGAGGTTTGCATGCTGGTTGATGGTCTCACTTTCGTTTATCCTGAGTGAATACAAGTATCTATAACTAAGTATTTCCCTTAGGGTACTGATGACTGAGGTATGTTTATTGCATTGAGTGAATTTATATATATAATCAGCACAATAAACATTATTAAATTGTCTGAGTAAAATCAAAGCATGAAACACACAGTCAGTGCTGAATTCTAATGATGCTGAATGCCCATGATTGCATGGGGAAAGGATCTTAACAAGCCTTGATTTGAGCTTTGGCATCCGCCTCACAAATCACACGAAATGTTCTCTCTTTAATAGTGCTGAATATTGATAAATGTCTCTGCACGGCACAACAGGGAAGTTGGTCTCTATTGGCAATCTTTACCAAAGTGTGTTTTTTCCTTCTCTACACTCAAGGGTTTACCCTGAATGATTTAATTATAATTTTCCTTGTGTAAGACAAATTAAAGAGGAGAGTAGGAGTGTCATGCCAAAGCAGATTATTTATCTCCTTAACAGATTGCTGTGCACCAAACCCCAGAGCTGCTGCTGCTGCTGCTACTTGCAGAAACTGGGCGAAATGTGGGACAAAAGCATAGATGCAATATACATTTAAAGCCCAAATGAATGAAAGCATTAACCCATTATTTATAGCTGGAATTGTTTCATTCCTGTGAAAGCCATACACACAGAACACGCAGAAACCAAGAGCAGCCCCCATGATGCCTCTTGCTTTTGAACATATTTTTGCTTTTCAGACATCCTCGGGTGACTCTGGCCACCCACCTGCCTCTTACTTTTTTGCCATAGAGGAGAACTCTTGTTGTCACTTGGCCCCGCAGTGGCCAGTGTCACCAGTGACACCAGAGCTGTGTCCCCACAGCCTGCACAGGACTAAAGCTCCGCTGTGCGTAACTGTGAGGCTGGGCCCATGGTACAGCAATGCGTGGGCATGTTGAGCAGCCAATGACTATTTCTTCTACTATTTTAAACCCCTTGTTTGTAACCAAAATGTGTTTTTACCCAAGACGTTCAGCAGAGCTGCTGCTTGCCCGATGATTTTTCTGCAGGTGCCTCCTGCCTCGCAGGTCTCGAGCAGCCTCGCAACCTGACCTGTGGGAGCAGGAACCCCGTAAAACACAGCCTGAACTATCCCAGTGACATGTGCCAGAGATGACAGCGATGATAGTAACTCCCACATAACCAACTTGCCTCATGCAGTGCACTCCTTCTCAAAAGCCCAGGAGGGATGGGGGGAAACAGCTTTACAGCACACCCTAAAAGTTAATGTTACCTGTATATGATTATTTATTGCTGCTGGGCAGTCGTTATGATGTGGCTGTGGTTAACTGTTAGGACACTTACAGCTTTTACTATGTGCTTTTTATTGTTGTTTAAATCTAAATAAATAGCTCTTGGTTGTATCAGACCAAAGCCAACAGCCAGTTGGACAGAAGATGCAGGAACGAGAGGGGGGAAGCCACAACCCAAAACCCTACCCTGGCCAGCCCAAGCGGAGAGCTTGTGTGATGGGAAGGGCTGATATCTCCCTTGTGAGCCCTTCTGACAGCCCCATCTGACCCAAGCTCAGGCTGGGGACCATCTCCACGAGTTCCCTTGTATTTGCAAGCGCAGTTGTTGTGCTGAACCAGCCGGGTACAAGAGCAGACATGGATTTCATTGTAAGTCTAGCGAACTCGTGCTCCAACCAGACCTATGATTTTTTTCTAGTCTTAACCTTTGCAATCAAAAAAATTACCAAAACCCTGCTCGTGCCTGTGCTCTCTCTTTTGTAAGTATGCAAAAATTTCACCTTCTGTGGGCTTTCAAATATACAACTGACAGCAGAGCACAGCC